ATTCTTTCCTTCTGCCCCTCCCCTCACTTGTGTTCTCTCTCTCTCTCCCAAATAAATAAAATCTTAAAAAAAAATTAAATATTTTATTAAGAAATCTCTACAGCCGAGGTGCCTGGGTGGCTCAGTTGGTTAAGCAATGCCTTCAGCTCAGGTCATGATCCTGGAGTCCCGCGATCGAGTCCCACATCAGGCTCCCTGCTCAGCAGGGAGTCTGCTTCTCCCGCCAACCTCTCTCCTCTCATGCTCTCTCTCTCATTCTCTCTCTCTCTCAAATAAATAAATAAAATCTTAAAAAAAAAAAAGAAAAATCTCTACACCCAACATGGGGCTCAAACTTACCACCCACAGATCAAGACTAACAGTCTTTACTGACTGAGCCAGCCAGGTACCCTTCCTTGTTATTTGTAATATGTCACAGATTTTCTAAAGTGAGCACATACTGATTTCATTTAAAAAATGTTTACTTTTTAATTTTTCGTATTTAAATTTTTTGTTAAAGATTTTATTTATTTACTTGAAAGAGAGAGGGAGAGAACCAGAGAGAGAGAGAGAGAAAGCAAGAACAGAGGGGAGGGGCAAAGAGAGAAGCAGACTTCTCGCTGAGCAGGGAGCCCCAAGTGGGGCTCGAACCCAGAACCCTGGGATTATGACCTGATCCAAAGGCAGAAGTTTAACTGACTGAGCCACTCAAGTGCCCCTAAAATATGTTTATTTCAATAGAGGACATTACAAGTAAAAAAAACAAATTCTGGGTCAGTTGAATGTCAGTAAATCTTTGCAGAGATAAATATCACAGATATAGGATGAATTATATATAATATTTTTTTAAGTTCAAGTTTTAGGCCTTTATATTTTCCTTGAGATAGAAAAACCCTGAAATCGTGTTAATGACTAAGAAAAGCATTCAGATTGAGTAGCCTTCTGACAGTGCTATAGACATCTGCTGAGCCCCCTGCTTTTTCCCAAGGGAATTTACATTCGTCCACTGGGTAGAGGATTATCGCATTCCTACTCTGCGCCAGTGTCTTGTTCCAGAGCGACTCACAGGAAATTCTGGTATCAACAGAGCTCACACTCTAGTAAGAGAAACGGCTGGGAAGAAAAACCACGGGTAGATATAAAATATAAAGTGAGGCCGTGATAAATCCTATGCGAAAAAAATAAATCAGGGAAAGCAGTCAGAGAGTGATGGGGGCAGGCACTTTACGCGAGGTTGTCTGAAGAGGGGACATAACGGAGCGGAAACTGGATTGAAGGGAGCCTTGTGAACGTGGGAGCTTCCCCGGCAGAAAGGAGAGCAAACGCCAAGACTGTGAGGCAGAACCATGCTTGATGCATTCAAAGAAGAGCCGGGAGGCTCGTGCCCTTGAAGACAAGGAGCAAAGAGAAGAATCCAGAGGGGGCCCGGGGTCACTCCTGGCTGATGTTGGGTCTTGTAGGCCATGACAAGGCCTTGGATTTTATTGTAAGGGTTTTGGAAACTTTTAGACAGTTAGGCAATCAACTTATTTCAGCACAAAACACACACGTAATACCAAAATCTGCTGGAAAACAAAACAAATAAGAAATCTGCTGACTTTCCGGTAAAATCCCTAGCTATTTTTACCAAATACTGATAAGCACGCCACGAAATTACTGTCGTAGGTGTAGAAAAACATCAGTTGACTTGCATGATTAATGCTACGTCTCCTTCAGTATCTTCTCTATGTTGGGCCTTTGCCCTACAAGCCAAGTATTAAATGACACAATTAGTGGTTTAATTGGAAACTTTTTGTCTGATTCAGACTTCTATAAGATATGTTGCAAAACAGACTCCACTGGATTTCTTGTTGCTAAGTTACCACCATTCAACTTCTTTTAAAATCAGAGTTCTTGAGTTAATTATTTTACAACAGATAAGGGACCCCTTTGTGGATTTATCTTTACATCTACGGTTTGGAAGCTGTAGCATATACGCTAACCAGTGATACTCAGGCCACTCCATGCATCTGGGGATATGCCACAACCTTCCTAAGGAGAAAGGGGACAGCGTCGCACCGGTGACCCCCTACACATTCTTTTCAAACAGTGCTGATGGTCGGCTCCAAAAAACTATTACTTTCTGGAAGATGTATAAATCGTCCAGTTGTAGGAAAACTAAGTTCCCTGTATCCCCTTCCAAGTCACTGTATCAAAGCAATATATATTTTGTTCTTTAAAAAGGGAGTATTTGGGGGACACCTGGGTGGCTCAGTTGGTTAAGTGGCTGCCTTCAGCTCAGGTCATGATCCCAGCGTCCTGGGATCGAACCCCACATCGGGCTCCTTGCTCGGCAGGGAGCCTGCTTCTCCCTCTGCCTCTGCCTACCACTCTGTCTGCCTGTGCTCACACACTCTCTAACAAATAAATAAATAAAATCTTAAAAAAAAAAAAAAGGGGGAGTATTTGGGTGACCCTCAGGAATGTTCTCTTCTGTTAACCACAGAACACACCGGTTGAGAAATGGCCCACATGACTTCTCCACGTCTGCCCAAGAAAGGTGGTGATATCTTCTTCCCACCTCCCAGGGAGCCAATGGTAGTCATTCAAAGCCAGGTTAGGCCAGGAGAGACCCCCATTTGGAGCACAGCGTGTCTGCAGCAGCGTGTCACCTGATGTCCTGATTGTCTGCCAGCCCATTTCTCTCTTTGTAAATATACACACAGAACTTCAGAAATTATGAGATCACCTGGCTTCAGAACACGAAGGGTCTGTGTGTGGAACTGCCAAATTCTTACTACAATGCCAGAACCATGGGGGGGAAAAACCACACACACACAACTCTGTAGTTCTGCCTCTCTGATAGTTTGTGAATGCAATTTCATTACCAAAATGTTCTTAAGCCTCAGAAAAAACAGTTCAGATTTTAAAGCCTCTTCCATTTCTAAGCCATGGACTTTTCCTACCAGCAGGAGGTATGCATCTGTCTGAATATGCCTTTCCTTCTGTGGCCCTGAACTATCTGCCTTTGAGTCTTTTTGAAATGAAAATAATAACCATAATAGTGTCTAATAATAACAAGCCAATTATCCCCGACTCAGGCAAGGACAGAGGGCAGGCAAGGGATGGCCTGCCGGGTTTGTATATCTGCAGAGAACAAGAAATACAAGTAAGTAATTTTCTCTCCTTTCAAGATACTTGCAACAGATCTCTGCAGAGATGGAGGCTCTAGGGGTTTATTTCTAAAACGATATCAACTAAATATAGAAAAAAATAAAAACCCACAGGAAGGAGTAGGGCAAGTCTGACTTAGCAACATAAGAAAGCACTAAGAAGGAAGAAAAAAGAAAATACCCAAAACCTTGCATTTTCTGATATTGGCGAAGCTATTGGCCTTATAGGTTCTAGAAGAATCAGCTTGTATAACTTTGGTTTCGTCAGTCTTTCATGAAATACATATACCATCTGTATGACTTGCTGAGAAGACAATGTTTGAATAAAAAAAAAAAATCAAGTCATAGGCAAATGGGAAAATATCCAAAATCTTCTTAAGAAATGTTCCCAAATTAAAATTCTGAATTCTTACAATCACCCCTACTGTTGCTGTGGTTTCTTTGAGACACTGTGACAATGTTTTCGAAATCTTCCCCATGTATCCAGGGAAAACCTACACCTCTCATCGACATCTACCTCGTTAACACCCAGACATCTAAACCTACCACTGCAGCATACGAGGAGGCTCACTGAGTCGGGCAGCATTTTAATAAGGCCCTTCTCAAATCCCGTGGGCTAAAGGTATCAGATGTAGGAGAGACAGAACTGTGGAATTATTCCAGTCCCAAAACAAAAACGAAATGACAATAATACAAAGCAGGCAAGCTTTCCTTCACTTGACCCTGGGCTAGACATCAGAAAACTATTAGGTAAGATGAAATTAACACTTAATGAAGCATCAGAGCAGAGCTAGAGCTTAACTTACCTTATTTGTATTATGAAATGAAACCCCACCTCTCAGTTTCATCCTATATATATATATATATATATATATATATATATATAGTATATAAGGTATATAAGCCCATGTACACAGGCTCTGTTTTTAATCCTTAGGGCAGACCTATGGCCAACAACTCATCACGACCCTTGATATCACATATCATGTCACCTGAAAGGTTTTCTCTTCCGGGGTTCCATGTCGACAGAAACATACATATACAATTTTAGTCAATAAGGGATTCATAGTGTACCATCTACTGATTATTGGTTCTTAAACAGGCTATGGGTTAGAATCACCAGGAGGAAGCTCTCTGAAGACCAAATTTCTGACGACCTCATTTCCTAATCACTCCCATCCATGCATCAAGATTTTCAGATCAATAGGGTTGGGGGACGTTCCTCCGATTTGTATTGTTTTTACACTAATTCTAATGTGCAGCTAGGTTTGAAAACAGTTGTAGCTGATAAAATTAAGAAATGAACTGGATGGTTCTGAGCTTGCGTCACCATCACTTAAAAGACTTTCTTAAAAGCACAGATGGCTGGGTTCAAGCACTATAGTTCCTGATTCTGGCAGATTTAGGGGAGCGGCCTGAGCGTTCCCTTTTGGAAAACACTTCCAAGTGAAAGTGATGCTCCTGGTCGAGTGACCGCAGCTCGCAAATCACCCACACCAGCAAATCAGGAGGAGAGTGGGGTTAAGTCTTCACCACAGAGGCCCAAATAATGTACGTCTGCAAGAGGGCGGGAGCTGGGCCCTTTTCTGTCTGTTGCTGAATTTGTCTTTTGGACTGGTGCCTGAGACCTCCCACCTGGGAATGTCAGGGCTGGGAGCAGGAGGCTTCGATTCCCAAACGAGAGGGTTTATCCCCATAAACCTTCTGGTACGACTTGACGAGGCTAGAATCACCGAGGCAGGCTGAAGGTAATAGCGATGGGGGAATTTCCAAACCAAGTCTCCGCTCGTTTCTTTCCCTCGTCTGAGAAGCACGCCTATTTGCAGAACGTGGACAATACATAAAGCTCAGGAAAAAGTGAGACAATACCTGTAGAAAGACCATTTTAGCAGGAATTGCCGGGCAGCTTTAGGAAAACTGGGCCTTCCCTCGTACGGTTTTAGCGCCTGCATCATCACGTTGTCCAGCCACGCGGCCCACTGCTCCAGGGTGCTCTGCTGCTGGAGGGTCATCTTGAAGTCTGTCTCTAGTCTCTGGACCATGTTGTCATCACACTGGCACACCCAAGAAGCCTGCTCCTGGGACAGGACATGGAAAGCAAAGGGAAACTTCAACTCAGCATCCTTCCCTTGAAGGTCGGCACACAGACCCTGCTCATGAACAGGAAATTACAAGGACAGCTTCCAACAACGACATGAATTAAGAAAACGAAGGACCACTTGTGGGTCGTTAAGAAAACCAGCACCGCCTCTGCGCCTGAAAACGAGACACAACACGGAAGCGTGACTTGGTTTTTCCGCATCAGCTAGTCCACGTGAAGGACTCAAATACACGATCATCTAAAGAAAAAGAGTGGCTGAACTGACAGTGTAAGGGGTCTGCCTTCAAAAGTCGGCTCTCCCTCATTTTCTCCCCGCTCCACCTCACCCCACAATCAGAGAAAACTTTAAAGCCAATCAATCCTTTTGAGAAGATTTAGGGAAAGTCAGATGGAAAAGCAGATTCGATTGGCCAAAAGTGTTCCCTCAGGATTAAAAGAGAAACAAGCCTGGAGTGGTAGGAGGTGGGAGCATGTGCTGTCTGAGTTTTATGGATCAGGAACCAAAATCTCCAGGGCTACTGAGGCGAGGGTACGAATGCAAATTAATTCATGGAACTGAAAACAACAGTAACAACGGCCACAAAACTACTTTAGAGAAAAGGTAGACGTCTACCTGCCTGCAACGAGAAAATGTTTTCAAGAAAAGCTCCTGTGGAGGGGTGTCTGTGAAGGTCTTAATTCTACCTCTAAAACATTGTGATCACGTGTGTAATTTTCTGGAAAGGGTGTATACAGCTTCCATGCCACGAGCTGTCGGAGGGCGAGTCCACTCACACAGACAGCTTCCGCTGAGGAAACCCCTCAACTTCATTCTCTGGTTCCCACGTCTCTTCTCATGGTACAGACATTACCTATTCAAGAGACATTTCAACTGGGAGGCATTTTAAAAACAAAATGCCCAAACTGAATTTATTCTATTTCCCTAGGTAAACCTACAGTTCCTTCTTAATTTTCAATAAATGACACCATCCGCTATCCTTCTCTGATCTAATTAACCATAAAGTCTTTCAGATATAACTTCTAAGAATCACTTTCAAAGTTTAAAGTACACTATAAATATAATTCTAGAAAAAACTGAAAATACGACTGAGCACAAAGGAACAAAATATTAGGAATATCTAAGATGTCAACACTAAGAGATAACTAAAACATGCTTTTAAACGATTCGCATGCACTATGTGCTTATGCATATATAAATATTTAAAATAAAAAAGGACCACATTATACATTCGAGTAGAGATTCTGCTTAGTTTCTCTTATGAGAACTGAATTTATATATGATATATATAAGATAACTGAATTTCCATGTAGGCAAATGTAGAGCTATATTTAATTATTGAATGACTGAATTTGCTTTAATGCATGAATATACCATTATTTTCATAATCAATTCCACACAGACATTCATGTTCATTATGATTTTTCACTATTAGGTAAAATGCTGGAATTAGCCATCTTGAAGCAACATCTTTGCAAAGTCTGCATTTACTCCTTTATGATAGAATTATATAAGAATAATAGTTAAACACTTCCAACACACACTGTCAGATGACTCTGAAATTTTATATTAAGAGTCCAGGAGAGTATCCAGGGAAGAATCTAGGCATCAAGGAAAGGATAGGGAAGGTTGTTTTTGTTCTCCTTCATTAATGCCTAAGCATTTTTAAAATTGCGATAAAAAACTAATAACATAAGTTTATCATCTTAACCATTTTTAAGAGTACAGTACAGGAGTGTTAACTATATGCTCCTTATAATGCAATCAACTCTTTCATTTTCATAAATGAAATATATTTATTTATGAAATATGTTCATAATTTCATAATTTATGAAAATCATTTTCTATAAAATATATTATTTTATATGAAAACATATTTCATAATTTATGAAATATATTCATTTATGAAATATAATCATAAATGAAATATAATTATAATTTATATATTATATATTATAATGCAATCAACTTTCATTTCAAATATATATTTATATATTATATATTAATATATATAAAATATTAAAGATACATATAAAATAATATATATTATATATTATAATGCAATCAACTCTTTCATTTTGCAAAACTGAAACTCTGTATTCATTGTAGGGAGGGTGGGTTGTTTTTTGTTTGTGTGTTGATAACTGGGGTGGGGGCTGGGGGGAGGAACTCACTGGCTTCCTTGGAGGAATTCAATTTCCTTTCATAACATAAATTCAAACTCACTATTTACTTGGAAGACAGTTTTAGGAAAGAGAGGGTGATTGGGACTGAACACTGACTTAAAAAAATAAAACCACAGGGCATTATTCTGGCTTTTCAAATTACTTTACATTATACATCATTTTACTATTTTGGAGACTGAAAATACATTAACAATAGAATACTCTATAAATATTCCCTTGTGAAAGGAATTTGGACTTTTCAGTTCTATAAAGGGAAAAAGCTAAGATGAACATTAAAGATGTTCTTCACTTACAAATAAATTATATCCAAAATGATAAGGAGTCGGTTGCGTCACAATCAGAGTATCTTTTAAATAAGCAAACATAAGTGTGCACAATGGATAAGTTATCAGGTCAACCCACCAAAGCTATTTGCCCATAATGTGGATGAAAAACTATTTATTTACACACAAAAACGATACCACTGCAATGTTATCAATTAAATAAAAGAAAACCAATTATACTGCAGTAGAAAGATGATTTTTTAAAAGATTTTATTTATTTATTTGACAGAGATCACAAGTAGGCAGAGAGGCAGGCGGGGGGTGGGGAGGAAGCAGGCTCCCTGCTAAGCAGAGAGCCCGATGCGGGGCTCGATCCCCAGGACCTTGAGATCATGACTGGAGCCAAAGGCGGAGGCTTAAACCACTGAGCCACCCAGGCACCCCAGCTGATCTTTGTTTAGTAAGATTTGTTTATGTATTTGAGAAAGAGAGTGAGACAGCACAAGTGGGAGGAGGAGGAGCGGAAGGAGGGGGAGAAAAAGTTCAAGCAGACCCCTTGCTGAGAGCAGAAGGACTCAGGCTCAATCTCACAATTCAAGATCAGGACCCTAGCTGAAATAAAGAGTCAGGTGCTTAACGGATTGAGCCACCCAGACGCCTGCCCCTAGATAGGGTATTTTGAATGCCTGAGTGAAAAGAGGAGTTAATTAGAGAAGAACGAAGTGGTGAAAAAGATTTATGGATGTCTTGAAGGAAACCTCTTAGTATTTTCAAGCTTCTTAAGAGCATTATAATATTGACACTGAAGAGTCATCTCCTTGTTAAACATTATAGTCCCTTTATTGCAAGAACACCACCTTCACACATGTCCCTGTTGCTGAGGTCCCTTTGGAAGGGCCAGGGACAACGTCCAGATGACCAGGAGAGAGTGACAAAAGTGCAAGGAGAGGCAGAGGATGGAGAATCCAGAGGACGCTATGAAAACCGAGCCAAGCTCCCAACAGAAAAGGAAGGAAAGGGAGTCAAAGGTGGAGAACACGATACCCTAAGAAAGAGAAAACTGATCAAAATGAACACAGTGTGAGAAGGAAGGTGGTGGGGAAACAGGCCACTGTGCTCCTGGTCCTCTGAAGAAAGGAAAGGGTCTCAGAGGACAGAGGTGAGTCACCCAGGTATCAGCACTGATAACTGTCATGCAGACCCAAGAACACTCCAGAAGAAGGGAAAAGGGAGCCTGAGTTGGTTGGGGAGGAAGAGCAGAGCAGAGATAAAATCCACCATTTAAATGCAAAGATGATCCCAAAGTGGGCAGTTACAACCAGGAGGAACTCATTTGCATAAATACTTCACAGGGTAGCAGATACACGAGTATAAAAACGGAACAGAAAACCTTTCTCAGATATTACCAGGAATTATTCTTTCTATTTTCTGTTCTGGAACTTAATGTCACATTTGAAACCACAGGTTGCCTTACCCCTTCGACTTTTTTAAAAGTGCTTTTTATTTTTATTTATTTATTTTTAAGATATTATTTATTTGACAGAGACCACAAGTAGGCAGAGAGAGAGGAGGAAGCAGGTTCCCTGCTGAGCAGAGAGCCCCTGGGATCATGACCTGAGCCGAAGGCAGAGGCTTTAACCCACTGAGCCACCCAGGTGCCCCTAAAGGTGCTTTTTAAAGTCTCTTCTGAATGGAGATGTGAAAGAAATATCAGGATAAATTTTCAGGCAATATGAACTTCTAATAGTCTCACTAAAACCAGTTAACGTAAATTTCATTGAACTATGTTAAGCTAATGGCTTTGCAAAGCCTGAGATAGTTTGTTCTTATAGACATTTTGTGTTTGCCTGTGTATTTAAACATGTTTTTACATAGATAAACACAGATACATAGAAAGGCAGATTTTTTAAGACTTCACATAACCAGCAGTTTGAGCCCAATCCATGAAAGTCAGAACAAACTTAATTACTATATCCCAAAGTGAATCAGGCCCAAATATTACTTTTTGATATAATGAAATGGTAAAAACAGACCAGACATGCAGATTAAAATTTCTAGAAAACAGGAGTAATTGGTGGTTTATTTTAAAGCAAAGGCATTGTTTAAATTTTCCTGAGATATAATTCTCATATCAAAAAATTCACTCGTTTAAAATATATCACTCAATGGCTTCTTGTAGAACATTCAGAGTTGTCCACCTATCATGATTTTAGAATGTTTTCATGTCCCCCAAAAGACCACCCCCTGCAATCTGTCACCTTTCAATTCCCAGTCCCTAGAACCCAGGCAATCAAGAACCTATTTTCTATCTCTTATAGACTTATCTATTCTGCACATTCCATATAAAAGGAATCATGCACTATGTGACCCTTTGCTTTTGGCTTCTTTCCCTTAGCATAGTATCTTCAAAGTTCATTCACAATGTAGCAAGTGTCAGAACCTCATTTCTTTTTGATGCCACACAATGTTCCACTGCGTGAATATGTTATGTACTCGTCAGTTAGCGGCCATCTGGGTTGTTTCCATGGTCATGCAGCAAAGGTGAATTATGCTGCTATGAACGTCCACGTACAAGTTTTACGTGGCCTTGATTTTGTTTCTCTTGTTTTACGTGGCCTTGATTTTGTTTCTCTTGGTCTAGGAGTGAAGTTGCTAAGTCATACGGGAACTCTACGTCAACCCCTGCAGAAACCGCTACACTGTTTTCCAAAGTGGCTGCATTTGACATTCTAGTCAGTGGTGCGTGGGGTTCCGTGCAGTGCCCTTCCTCTCCCCTACATCTTGGGTCTCACTTCTCACACTGTTCATTTTAATCAGTAATCCCTTTCTTAAGGTAGCATATTCCACCTTAAACTCTCTTCTTTCTGCGATTATCTGTCTGATTATACCCATTTTAGTGTGGATGAAGTAAAAATCCCACTGTGGTTCTGAGCTGCATTTCCCCAGTGCCAGTTCCATTCATGATCTTTACAGGGGCTTACTGGCCATCTGTCTGTCTTCTTTGGAGAAATGGCTATGCAGATCTTTGCCCTTTTCAAACTGGGTTGTCTTTTTATTGTTGGGTTGTAAGAGTTCTTTATATATTCTAGATATAAATTTGTATCAGATAGATAATTTGCAAAAATGTTCTCAATTCCATTAGTTGTCATTTCACTTTCTTGATCATCTCTTGAAGCACAAAAATCTTTCATTTTGGTCATGTTCAGTTTAGGTATTTTTTTTCTTTCTTCTGTTGCTTCTGCTTTGAGCAATGTGCTATTTTTATATGGTAACAACTAGTTTCATTATTTTAATATCTGAAATAAAATATTTGTGGGAGTTCATAATAATATTCCTAAGTTGCCTGTCTTTATAAGTGTACTTTAAAGTATAAGTAAATAGTTTGATCGCAAGGTTAAAATACCTTTTTTTTCCACTGGGACAAACAAAAGAGCCAAATATATTGCTCCTAATTCTTTGCAAATGAACAAGTGTTTACCAGATGCTCTGAAATAGTTTCTAAGTGTTCTTAGTTCTTTCAAGATGGGGCACTATTTTTTTTAAAAGATTTTATTTATTTATTTGAGACAGAGAGAGAAAGAGCGAGAGTGAGTGAGCACACCCAAGTAGGGAGGCGGGTCAGAGGGAGAGGGGATCCCTGCTGAGCAAGGAGCCCAATGCAGGGCTGGATCCCAGGGCCCTGAGATCATGACCTGAGCCAAAGGCAGGCACTTAACCTACTGAGCCACCCAGGCACCCCAAGGTGGGGAACTATTAAAAACATAAATCTCTTGTGTGTTACAGCACAAAGGACTTCATGTATTACTAAATATGTAACAATTATCTCAGACAGATGTTGTAAGGTGGAAAGGGGAAAGCCCAGAGCAGTTAAGCAACTTGTCCAAGATTGCACAGCTAGCAGATGGAAGAGTTTAATCTCTTGCCTACCTAACTTCCATGACTGTGACTGTCCTGACTCCAGTAATTAGCAAACCCTGCTGACATATGTCACATTGAGTACAATACATCTCAGCAGACTATGAGACAGACGAGCAGTAAAGGCCCGGCTGGGTCAGATTCCCCTCTTTCAGAACACAGGACCACAGATGCTGTCTGTGCCTTGAGGAAACGTAGGAAAGAGCAAGAAAAAATGGGGTGTCTTTCCTTCCAAGAGATATTTTGAAAGAAAGCAGAGTACCTGGACATTGGCAAAGTCGACACGGTTGAGGTCATTGAGCATCTGGTTGATCTGGGAAGTGTTCTGGAGCACTGCACGAGCTGCCTGGGCCAGGTGATTGAGCGATGTGTATCTTCGCAGAGTCTGGGCAAAGGCACTTACAGCGGCAACCTAGAAAGAAATCCCATCAAAACCGGGTAGAATTCCATTCCAGGAAAAGAGACCGCCGCAATCTTCAAATCTTTATTCCCTTGCCAAACTGTAACTGCTTCCCTCTGATACTTATTTCAAACTCATTTTGTGGGAGAGGTTACTTGTAAATTATAGCATTTAAATCTCAAAACCAAGTATTATTTTCCTTTTGAGTAGGTAGAGGTCAAGACTAAAACAAACTCCCATGTTCTTCGACATCTGAGTGCAGCATTAATTAAACCAGTCTTGCAAGAAACGACTTTGTCTAGGGAAGCAGTAAAAGTGTTGATTTTCATTTCTCTTTTACTCTCTGTAGAACTGTCAATATAAACTCAGTAATGCCATTTTTTCCCCCTTTTTATTTGGGAAACCGAAATGTGCCATCTCACTTTTTTAAATGGATAAAAGATTTTTATAGTCTTCAGAGCACTGTCATCCAGATTCGCTCTTACGGCTTTTATTTTAGAGAAGGTGTTTTTCGTATTAGCAAATACATAGCCAATAAACTTATCAGACATCGGCAACAAGAATTCTTTTGCACTATCGGAATTTCGGTACAAGAGCCATCCACGATTTCTCCATTTGCTCCTCGACATCTACTTGCCATTCTTCTCCAGGCTCCTCTGCCCAGGAAGGCTGCCCTGAATGGACTACATTAAGCGCTGCCCTTACATTTTGGCTTCCAGTTGGGTTTGGCCAATGATACGCAGTGGGAAGAACAGAACGATGGGGGAAAAGAAAGAGTGTTCAGAGAATTTATTCCCCTACAACCTCTGCTCTCTCCATGTTTCGTCAAAGCTTGCTTTCTTGGACTAAGGCCACACAGTCCTTGAGGGAAGGAGATGATGTCCTAATGCCATAACTTTTACCTCTTTCCCCTTCAGATCTAGGGAAGCTCATGTCTCCCCACTGTTGCCAGCCCCAGGGTGATTTACCAGTCCTCTGAGTTTTCTTAACTGCTCACATCTTGGGGAATAGACCCTTCTTAAATTCTTTTCAGTTATTCTCCCCTTGGATCTACCATTTGCTTCCTGCTGAGACCCTCAATGAAACAGGTTACACTGAAAGATAGCAAAGATAATGTAAAAAAAAAAAAAAAGTCTAGGTAAATATCTAAATCTCACGATCTCATGGAAATCTGTTACATGCACAGTAAATCTAATGAGCATTTTTAACATATCTATAGGACTGCATGTCATGTCATTAAGTGACAAGAGGTATGTAAGAAGCAGCTGATTGAACAGTCTCGTCCAGGGTGTTCAAAGGTCAAAGGATGCTCTGTCTTAATAGTGAGATGTTTTGGGACTATATGGAAGTTGGAAGAGGTCTTACACTTTTTTCCATTTCTGTGGTTTCTATTAACCGAGGACAAACTAAGTGCCAGACACCATGTTCAGTGCCTCACACACATCACCTGAACTCTCATAACTGCCACACGGGACACACATCGTGACTTAAAGGGGTTAAGCAGATGGCTCAAGGTTGCACAGAAACTATGTTATGGTGGTGGGGCAGGGTTGATAGCAAGGGCCCGTCATAACCAAATTAGGCTCTTTCCTCTGTTGGGGCAGATTATTTTCATTGATTGAGTGCTCAGATGAAAACAGACTGTACATGAGTGACAGAAGAAAAGCAGAAGACACTGTCCCCCAAGGCAGATCATCCACATCAACTCTGGGGACCAATGAAATTGGCCAATGTTGCAATTAGATTGCTACTACATTCACTTCGATAAACTGGGAAGGAAGGTCCTTTCAGCTGTTTGACGTTCTAATGTGAATATGACTAAGTTAGCAAACTGGAAAGCATTCCTGGAACCATCATAATCAAACAGTACCTCCTTCCTTTGCCCACCTCAATGTGGCACTCTAGAACTTTCTGCAATTATGGTCATGCTCTGTAGGTGTGCTGCCAAATATGGTAGCCACTGGCCACATGGAGCTGTGGTACACCTGAAACACAGCTAGCTAGTGTGGCTGGAGAACTAAAACTTTAACTTAAATTAAATTTCAAATTCAAATTCAAATTTAAATAGCCATTGTGACTCCCCTTACTGCATTGACAGCATAGTTCTAGAGCAGTGATCTAAGGTGGGCATATCCATGAAACGTCCCTGCTGTGTATTTTATTTTTTTGTTTGATTGTTTTTTCTTTATGTTTTGGAAAGTGATACTGCACATCTTGGGTCAAAGCAGAAGAAACTAGGAGTGACTTGTGTTCCCAAAGAGGCCTGTCAGTTACAAGAAGGTCAACTTATCGACTGTGTCCCCACACTGAAAGGCAAGCTGTACGGCTGAGGACAGTGGACATAGCCATTGAGAAAAAGCCAGAAATGTAACTTTTGATACAAAGTTTAGACAGAATCAGTCGGATCTTGCCATAGGATACGTTCACAGACTAACCTAAAGTAACAAAGTGAGCAGGGCCCACAGTGGAGATCACAAGTCATATCTGGAGCCATACAACCCACATTCCAGATAAACACCATCAATTATGAGATAACTGCTCACTTTAAGCATTCTCCAGTGTTCAAAAAAAAAAAAAATCTTGAAAATCAAAAGGATATTAAATGTACATGAAACGTTTCACATTATAAATGAGTGTAGTTCGGGACTTAAAAAAAAAAAAATCTAAAACTCCCTCAAGTGGAAACTATTTGAACATTCCGGGCTCTTCTTTTTCGTTTTTGAAATTAATGATAAATACACTGAAATATATCTGAAATATACAATCTGAAATATACACCTTGGAAAAGGGCTTACAAATACTCCACACTTAAAACGCTTCTTTAGTCTCTTCAGAAGGAGTAATATCAAACGCCATCTCTCGTGCACGTGCTTGATTACATGGTTATAAAGCCCAAGTAGAAAAAAAAAGTTTGAAAAGCTCAGTATATTCTGATACCAACATCATACATGACACCATTTAACAGGACAGATCTAAACTTCACAGCTCAGAACAGTTTCCTAAAAACAGAAGAAAAGGCAAACACATACTAACTTACCTTGGTTTGTATCATTCTCTGTGGGATATTGTTCATGGCATTGGAAAGCCAACCTTCAAGGCTTTTTGCGAAATTTCGAATGGCTTGGGTCAAGGCACCTAAATGTTGAAGAATAAAAGCAGAACGAAAAAGACACCAAAGGATATTAATCTGTATTCCCGGGGAAGAGAAAAACATGCATACATGACATCTGAAATCACACAGATCTTATACTGTCCTCATTGATGAGACTTTTACGTTAAATACAATTCCTAACTTTGAAAGCATCCAAGAATTGCATTTTGGGCTTTTTTGTTTTGTTTGGTTTGGTTTTAAAGTTGTTTTGTTCCCAGATATTTATGACACTTTGTTAGGAAATGCAAACATTCAAACATTTTTGCTGACAGCAACATATACCAGTTGTGAATATACTTGTGGAATTTTCTACCTTAGACAATACAGCCTTTTCGTTAGCAGCTTAATGCTCAAGGGCTAAGTAGTTTCTTTGTAAATTCTTCATCCTGATTTTTCAAGCTCTAAATCTATTTTCCTTTCTTTAGTTAAAAAGGAAACAAGGCAAAGCTTTCTCCCTTTCTCTACACATCTATCCATTCTAGAATATACTCAGGGAGTGGTTCTCTCTTACTCTGATTGAAAAGTAAGGTAAAAATTAAAATTGCCTGACTTGAAAATTTCAGACAACTATTCACCGTTTCACTTGGTAGGTAGAGATAAAAGATCAGGGTGATATAGTTGCTGTCCCCAGAGACCAATATTCTAAAGAGATTCCTAAAACAGTCCATTCCGTATTCGTCACCTGTTAAGATCTGAAAGAGGACTGGGTCCCACGAGAGTAGTTTTTATGGTGGTCATAAAATGACTAGAAGCATCAACAGTTACCAGGAATGACTACAACTCTTTTCCAAGAAGGGACCTGCTTCCTGAGATAGGTTGTATAATATAATAAACAGAGAATGTTTCGCTTGGTCAACAAGTCATTCAGTATTTTACTTCATCTGTACCCAAGGCTCCCCAGTGTAGGGAGTGGTTTCAGACATTTAATAGATAAGTGGTTGAAATACCCACAACATGAAAGAAAGTTCTGTGGGTTCCCTCTAATGTGGTAGACATTATAATTTGGAGTCTCCTACAAGAAACCCGGAAGTTACATTTTTCTCCAAAGCTCCCAAGAATATTAATATTGATGCTGGGATTAAATTTCTTGGTTTTTCTTCCTGCGCTCAAATGAGTCTGACATGCTTCTCTCATACTTTTGGTAAAGAAGGGCTAGAAATAATTTAGCTTGCTCAAGTTGCTTGTGAAAGATACAAATTGTAATGACCCAGTCATAAAAACAATTGATTTTTAAAATCATTTTTTTTCCAACTGGCCAAATGACAGAAGAGAGGTTGAAATGACTAAATTTTGAAGAAGTATCGACTCTTAACCATGACAATCATCTACTGGAAACACTGAGTTGGAAATTTCTTGAGAACTAATCTTGTGAAATTTCCAAAGCTTCCCACTTGAGCCAAAAAAGGAAAAAAGAAAAAAAAAAAATTCTTCTGCTGTCTTATGTACTAGAACCATGGAGGGCAGGCATGAATGGAAATGAAAAAGAGTGAAAAAAAATTTAACGACCCTTTTTGAAACTCGGGAAAATTTTGTTCAAAATTCAACTGCGCTATCTGTATTTTGCATGTTTTCTACTATTAATATATAATAATTATTTGATCTGCATAAAAAAACCCAAGAACTAAGAGAAGTTACTTTAAAAAAAAAATACTGAGTATGGGTCTTGTTTTATCTAGACAAATTTGATGCTGGGAAGATCATAAGATAAACTTTTTTTTTTTTAATCAAATGACTATAAGTTTTTACTTTCTTGTACTAAATGACATTTGGGGCCACTTTTACGTATACTCATAATTGTACATAAGTGTTACCAGTTGAGTTCTTATACAATTCTTACACTTAACTGCTTTTCATTTTCAGATAAATGTATTTTAGAATATAGTAGCTTCAAGCTGACTTCAAATTAGTGTGATATGCAGACTTTTTTTGGCTAAAAAAAGGAATCCCATCTGGACAGTAAATGGTAGAGTGAAGTACTAGTAGCCAGGAAAATAAAATTTTTAAAAATAAAATTAAGTTTGCTCTCTCTATAGGGATTCGTGTCAGATCAAATTGTGCAGATTGACTCTGACAACTTTTTCTCATGAATGGATGGTTTAAAATTTAAAACTATTCCACAGCTAACTTGTCTCAACCTGCTTGTGATTTTATATTAAAATGTACACGATCAGAAGATAGCTATTTAAGCTGTATTTTAAGCTTTGTTTTGTGAGGTCTTCTTATAGAATCAGAATTAAATTTTTAAATGTACGCTGTAGGCTAGCACGTTAATGTCCCTTATAATGTCACAGAAACTCTAAAATTATGGTCATCTGTAAATTCCTGAAGTTGAGTTGTCTGTTAAATGTAGAGACAGACTTCCTGGCAGAATAAATTGGTTTTCGAATCCAAAATTTGCAAAAAAATAAAGAAAGAAAGAAAAAAGAAAGGTCAAGTGTATCGTGCACTTAAAATTATGAGGCTGAGAGTCAGCTAAAACGGATACATGATTTAAGTTAGGGAACTGTTGACTGCACAAGTCCTGTGGTGTAACAGAAGCAAAAGATTTCAGAATTTTTTAATGAAGTTGACGTTGTTGGTTCGCCTCAAACAAGAAAGAGCTCACAGATCTCTCTTCTTGTACTTCATGAGAAAAATGGTACTTGGGGCGGGGGGCAAAGATGTCACAGGCTAAGGAGCCAGCCCTACGCAACTTCTCTTAAAAATCTCTAGAGATTATCACTCAGGGCACAGGGAGCAGGAGAAAAACAAGGAAAATCGAGATTCTGGAACGTACATCGGTAGAGAATACACGCATGGAAATTTTCCATGACAACATCACTTTTAGTCAACTGTCAGGAAACATGGCGCAGAGAGAGTGGAAAATATTACCAATTTATAAAAATGTGAGACACTGATGGTTGGATTTCTTTTTTTAAAAACTTATTTCTAGAGCCATCTACATGTTTATTGATATTATATGTAAACGAGTGGCTAAGCATGTATTTCAAGATGGTGGGAAACATACGAAAGCACTCCTATCTTCCACTGTTGTTTATCATATTGAGAAAAAAGAAAGCATAGACATACAAATGCTGGTATCTTCACCTTTTCTTCTACTAACTCCTTCCTTCTTGTTTTGTTATGATTTAATATAAATCGTCGGTGAACGGTGCACTTGAAGTACACGATTGCCAATTTCATGAGCTATGAGACTGCTTTTACCTTATTATGTCACTGCGGAGTGGAAACTCTGTCCCATTTCATTAAAAGCTAAGGTCACTAGGTGCTCATGAAGATATTGGCATAAAATCCTTCCAGTTGCCTCGGACACAAGCATCCATACTAGCGTTTATATTGACACTTGCAGAAATAGCTTTGTTGGCCACAAGGTAGTTTCATCAACAACAATCACAGAAAAAAAAGTCATCTAACTTATCTATGTAACTCCTATTTGCCTCACGGTGGGAATACAATGCTCGTGCAGTTGTACACAGAGACCTTTCGTTCACCATGCCGGTTAACCGTTACTGTTAATGGAAACTGCATTTGTAGTTCTCAACATGACGGACTGGACAAAGTAAATGCTTTTATATAGGAATTCAACTTCAGTGGAAACCAAGCTAAATTCATTTCAAATCAGAAGCAACCATGAAAGAGGCTGGTCTACAGATTTCAAAAACTTTTGGCTTTATGAAGGAAACTGTGTCCTTGGGTAGAATAATCTTTACAAGGTTGCCTGGCCTGGGAGTGTTCTTGCAATTAGTTATTGGGGCTGTCACACCATAAGTTGTCTTTTCTGTCGAAAAGAAAATGAACGATTGGAGAACAGATCTTTTTTTTTTTTTTGCCCGGTTCCCTACAGTTTTGCTCTAGGCTGCTTTCGTGCAAAACTCTTGTGTTGCGTCTTTTTTTTTTAATTGGCAAATCTAAATGAGATTAGAATCACCCTAGATTGCAACGTCACTTTCCCAAACTACTTGGGTGGAATGTATGAGAACAAAAGCATCCGTACTCGTCTGCATTTAACTTACTAGGAATAGGTCTAAGCACGTCGGGGATGAGAATCTCCACCAAAGCCTGGTACATCCCATGGTCACAGTTACACATCCATTTCAGGATAGACTCATGTTTGCACAGAGTTATCAGCTTTGCTTTCGGAAGTCGACTTTCTATTTCACTCAGATTGCTGGTGTGAATAAATGTAGCAAATGAATAGATGGCAAATGAGGATAAAAAAGAAAATGGACTTTAAAAATAGTTTTAGTTTAGCAAATATCACTGAGGTTAGAACTACACCACCACTGCCCTGGCGCCCTGCGGCCGGATACACACAACAGTCCCCCAGAGCTGCCGAGGCGCCATCACACTCGGACGGTATGAAGGGCAGATACGATACTCATTCCCTGAGGATGAAATAGCTCTACCACGGTCCCCCAGATCGATCAAAATGGGAGCTACGACACACACACGGAAGCCTCGAGAGAGCGGTTTGTGGTTCATCTCAATCTATTCATTTAATGTTATCAGGTAAGGTTCACAACTGGTATACAGATCTCTCATTTATTAGCTGTGACATCTACTCAGCCATGAACATGAATCGGAAAAGCCTATTGATTCTGACCTTGATTCAGTGATGGTAGTGCCGTCGGTTGGAGTCGAGGGAGAATAGCGCCAGAATGTTTGCCACAGTTTTTCTATCAGGCTAAACTGAAGATTCACAACAACATCCAATATTGCCTAAAAAAAACCCAAAAACAAAACCGAACGGTCATCAGAGTTGCCTTACGACGCCGCTGATGGGGTTGGTGAGGAGCGTGTGGCGTACCGGGATATGGAGATGGTGAGCGCGGCTGCGGGAGCGGCAGCTACACGGTCAAACTGGGGTACATTTTGCTGATGGACATCGGCAAACCGACGAGCTCAGGCAGGGAGAACAGAACTCTGGAAAGACCAACGGGATGACGTGTAGTCCCCCCAACACAGCCCCATATCCTTGCGTTACCCTCTCTTTTTCTCGCTTACTTCCCTTCCTCTCCATTGTCTTCTCTTACTTTTCTTCCACTCCTTTCCATGCTGCTTCCTTCTGCCTCCACGATGGGAGCCACTCTTCTCCTTCTTAGACCCAGAAGCACACAGTCCCCAGGGGGCCAGGGGAGCCCATGGCCATCCAAGAGCGCAGAAGTGAAGGGTGTGGAGCTAGCTGTGCGGGGCGGACAAGAGCCAAGGCTAAACGCGCCTGTCCTGGGGCTGCTGACCATGATTCCAGAGTGTTCCCAGTCAACCAGAGGCTGGGGCCGGAACCACGACGGGGCTGGCCTTCAGAGGACAGTGTCCATCTGGGCAGAAAAAGGGCACTTCTGCAGTCAAGCCATGCCTTCGCTTTAATCCTTCCTCTGCTCCTTCTCTTTAGAGAGCAGCTTTAAGACTACTCCCTTCTCTAACCTTGGGTGCAGGGCCCTCATCTCCTCCTTCATTTTCTCTCCTAGAACCATTTCCCAGCTGCATCAAAGATATTTTTTTTATGATTCTAAAATTTGCCCCTTCATTAAATTTTGATGATCATATTTAATTTCCCCCTGCCATCGCAATTAGTTTATAAATTTGCCTTCAGATAAAAGCAGTCAGAAAACCAAAGAATAACTTGTTTGTGCAAAGAACATGTGATTCTGTGATTATTTTGGGCATAAAAGACAGAAGCCATCAGCATAATGTGCCTGGCGTCGTCAGCACTGAGAATGAGGACAGGTAAAACAGCCCCAGCAAGATCCACAAAATTCCTAGAAGGAAGGAGACCACTGGGGGCAACCAAGAGAGCCAATCTGGGTATCCGAGGCAAAAAGAGGAAAACTATTAACTCCCTAGTTCTAGAGTCTGTGACACCCGTGTAGGTCTCTGGCCCTCTGTAGGGTACAGAGAATAATGGATTTTCTATATAAACACACCCTGAAACCAAGTCAAACATCAAGCAAAACATGTTTGGGAGCACGTTAATTAACACTTTTCATCCTTTGATATCAGGAACAATAAAAGATGCAAGTGTTAAGCCTTGAAATTAAAAGGCAGACAGATGGCCCTCCTCCTAGGCAAAAAAGCTCTCAAGGAGGAAATTATTATTTTTTAAAGATTTATTTATTTATTTTGAGAGAGAGAGAGAGAGCATGAGTGAGCAAGCACAGGGGAGGGCAGAGGGGGAGTGGGAGAGAAAGTTAGCAGATTCCGTGCTGACCATAGAGCCAGACCCAAGGCTGGATTGTCAGGACCCTGAGATCGTGACCTGACCCAAAACCAAGCGTTGGGCCCCTAAACCGACTGTGCCACCCAGGCACCCCAAGGCAAATTATTACACTCCTTTCCCAATTGTACCTTAGGCACATTCCAGGAGATATCTATTAATAAAGCAACTATTAATGCCACATATAATACCTACATATCTCTATCTATGAGATCGCTATAAGAAAGCTAAGCTTTTATAAAAATAAAACCAATTACTGTTGCAGCAACTTGTGTGGAAAATTCTGCTCGTGCCTTCCATAAAAAAACTAGTGATACTTATAAAACAGCTTTGATAAGCAAATTGTGAGAATTCCAGAAAAAAAAAAACCCAGGCAAAACAGGTAGATTAATCTTTCTTAAAAACATAAATGGTATAGAATATGAAAAAAAATAAGGCAAGGGAAGAATTCAGTGCATCTTACATGTGGTCCCTCTCCAAATTAAATAATCTCAAATAATTCTTTTGAAAAGGACGTTCACATCAGCCTCGCTTGAGACATTTTTACAAATGAATAAAACATTTTACCATTTGTCCACCTACTTTCAAATATGTTCAGACTAAAATATATAGGCAAATGTATTTTTAAATAATCCTTATTGTACTGCCTTAGGGCAAGTGACTATTTACAGGACGGGATATGAGACTGAACACCTGCACTTCAAAAGTTTGGAAGTTTGACATGAAAAAAATTAACTGGAATTCTTCTTTATCATACAATTGGAATTTCTTTTCCATGCCTCATGAGAGACGGCATGAATGCTGGTGATCCTGAAGTAAGTGGGGATCATTCATTCTCTGGGCTCCGTGGGCTGCCATTTCCCACAAAGACTGATTACCACACACCACTGTATCTCTTCACACAGACTATTCCCGAATGTGGGTACGCTAATGTAATTTTTGTAATCCAAAAGATGATGTCATCTTTCATCTTACTGGTGGAGTTTTCCACTTCGAATAAGCTTACTGGACATTCTTTAGTAATATAAATAAACCCTGCTCCTATTTATATTTTGAACAAATAAAGAAACTTAAAACAAACCCAAATTATATCTGTGTAGGCCGGTTTGCTTAACGCAAGATTCACCTGAACACAAAGACATGAGAAATTGCTTAGGGAATCTTTATATAAATCTTTATTGAAGATACATGATAATCATGTCCAAAGAAAGATTTTTTTTTTCTTTTTTGAGATACATAAGGTTCATCTAGAAATTCTGTAATGTTGGGAGAAGCACAGTACTTAAAGGGAGAGGAGTATTAAGAGTCTTTCATCGTTCCAGAAAATGTTGGGAACGAACCGGCAGGACATGTTGGAAAACACTTTTGGCACATGGTTTGTTAATAAAGAGAGAACTTGCCCTTGGTTGGTAATAATCCAGCACCCTTGACAAGCACTCTGATGCACTCAAGCAGTCTGTATTTCTGGAGTGGGGAAAAAAAGTCTGTGAATGCTCTGAGCGGAGACTTCTCACCGTATACTGCATTGTCAGCAGTCAGGATGACTGCCCGTGAAACCCCAAGGAGTATCTTTTACTTCTAAGCAGATCACAAATAGCCCTGGAATAAAGGTACTTAAATTCTCAACAGATTCCTCTTTCAAAAGGAGAAGCATTTGCTGCAATCTGTTCTGCCCTTCCCACCCGGGGAGCTGCAGGTGTATTAAAAGGCTGGCTTGGACAGTGGTCACCTCTTGGAGACAACGAGCCAGTTCCAGTGGGGAATACTCAGAAGAAGAAGTAGAAGCAGGGATGGGAAATACCCAGAGAAACTTTAATTAACCACAAAAACAAAACAGAACTAGAGCCTCCATAATCCCTCAATAACCTCAATAACATCTAAAATGCTCCATTAAACATTTCTAGGACATATCTTTTTCTTTTCCCTCTTTTTAAAAGATTACTTATTTATTGAGGTCATCTCCACACACAACGTGGGGCTTGGATTCATGACCCCGGGGTCAAAAGTCGCATGCTCGTCTGACCCAGCAAGGCAGCCCTCCAGAAAATATATATATTTTTTTTTTTCAGAAAATATTTTTGACAGAAATACACAGTTAATGGTGTAAAATTCAAAAGGTTAAAAGGGATATTGGGAAATTAATTCTTTTCCACTGACTCCCACTCATCCAGTCTCCATCACAAAGGCAACTACCATTAACACACTGAACATTTTGTTCTTTCTGCTGGAGATTTATATACATGTTCTTTTTCACTCGAATGATAGTATACAATACATGCTGCTTTACATCTTACTTTTCCCTTAAAAATAAACCCGGGAATTCAGTCCACAGGAGTACATCTAGAAGGGTCTGTTATTTTTAATGGCTGCATAGTACTCTACAGACTGTACGATGTTTTATTTACTCAGTTGCCTTTTAGATGTGGAAGCTACAACCAATCTTTTGCACTAAAAACAATAATGCAACAAGTTCACTTATATTCACCCATATTTTCTAGGGTATGTACCTAAAATGGAATTGCCACGTCCAAGGATTCTGATTAGGAGATGCTAAGAAGATGGGCAGTAAAATGCATTCTCCCTTTCCCACAGCCCTCCTTTCTTCAGTCTGAGATAAGAAGAATGATGAACTTTTGACTCATGAACCAACTTCCCTTGTCCTTTAGGAATAAGTTGGATTATTTTGTTTTAGCAAGCAGTCTGGCAAAACTTAGCATGCATTCCTACTGTGTTTGAAAAAACTTACCTCACAGTGCTCTCGATAAAGACTCTGCAGTGACTTGATATCCTCAAAGGTAGTACCATCTGGCAGAGAAGAGATTTCAACTTCTCCAAACTCTGGAAGTGCTCGAGATGCATCTGTTGCCATGACAACACAACAGGGAAAAAAAAAAAAAAAACTATTGTGGATTGTGGCAATTACAGACTAATGAGGAGACATTTAAGATAGACTAAGAAAGGAAAAAAAAAATGTGAAGGCCAGAGTCCAACGATTAAGAACTTTTCATAGTAGTATTTTTCAAACAAAAATGTAGCAACATCATCAGTATGAAAGGATAGAGGAGGAATGTTAAAATTGTGGAGGAACTAAATTTTCACTACTGTTACACTGGAAATAACATACCATAATGTCTCTCAACATAGGACCCCTATTGAAAGGAAAATATCTCAAGCTGGCCAGTATCAATTGTAGTTATTTTATTATTATGTTACTTAAGAATTAATAAAAAAATAAACCTAGCTTTACACTTGTTATGCTCATACTTCTTGTATCATCATAAGCCAAAAAGCTACAGAATGAACCCAAATAAAACTACAAAAATCAAATTAAACTTAACAATATGAATTTGACAGGATGGATGCTGCTGCTATCCTATAACTGAATTACCTCTTGCAGCATGAATGTGGCATTGACCGCCGCAGCCCAGATCTTCTGAACTTGGCAGGCCTCTACCAACATGTACTTCCTGGTGGCTGGTTCCCCCATTACTCTTCTGTATTCAAACGAGCTGTGGAACTTTCCTCCACACAGAGCACTGGGACATCATTTAGCCTTCCCTTGGGATGCATTACATAATTTGTATAAGCTACATAGTAAGTCTCTCCTTGTTCTTTTCTCGTGGGCTCAGGATATCAGTACACTTTGATGCCTGCTTTATCATAAATTCAAATAGAAATGTGTGAACTAAAACCGCAGAACAGTAATCGTTCTCCTCCTCTAGATAACCCAGAATATGTCTTTATTATTTCTTGACAGATTTGAATTGAAATAAAAATACAGGATTAGAAAACAAAATTAAAACCCTCTTTGAGAGTTCGAGGCTTTCAAGAGTGTGCGGGAGGACTTCAGTTTGGGAAGGGTTGCCATCGTGTTTTCAACTTCAGTAACTATTTTGACGTGAGCGTCCTTTTTAGTTGTTTGTCAGAAGGGGCACACAGACAAACGCACACGCAACCCACACACACGTGCACTCTCTGGTGCACTCTCTGGCTTCTATTTATCTTGATATGTTGTACGGAATCTACGCATGTTCATCTCTAGAAAAGCTGTCGGTTGCAACGCCAGTCCTTGCACTGGTAGCTATGACCACAATATGCAGAATGTTCGAGTTCTACTTCCCCACTCTTTAAATGACAAGCAACACATAAACCATCTACGGAATTACAAAAATAGGCTATATTGTGATCAGTTTAAAAGAACAGCTTTTTTAAAGTTTATAGGAATTTCTTTTTTTTCTAACCTGAGACCACGCATTTGCAACTTTATACATAGGAAAGGAGAATTCTTGTGGGCCCTTGAAGTTAACTACTGAAAGTAAACACAACTTTGATCATGAAAGCCCAATTAATACAAATTCCTCAAGACAATTTCATAGCTATGAGCCTTTAACTCCTATGCATTTAGAAGTCCTACACGGCTTGATACTTTTTGAAAGATGCTCTATAACACGAAGAAACAGAAATGGTCTAGAACTATCCCATGATAGGCAGAGTTTCAGCGCACACACAAATGTTTCTGTGTGGCTCACATCTGTAATAGACACAGCAGTTGGAGAAAACACTACTATTGTTCTCTTGTTTTCAACATCTTAATAGCAACCATACTATGCGTTACACCTTGACATACCTAAAAACTGTTGATGATGTTGACTTTGGGCTATTACAGTTTGTTCAACAGATGTGCCGGTCTGTTGACCACTTCCTGTGAAACCATCTGCAACCCCATCCACCTTCTGCATAGGCTTGTACCTAAAAATATTAGATGGGGAAAAACAAACAAATATAATTATTCCTTGTTTTCTCGCACTACACATAACTCCTGAGGCATTTGATTTTACTCTATCTTCTTTAATGTCCCATGATCGTTGGAGGATTTTTTTTTCCCTGATAGTCTCAAAAAGTTAGGATGAAGAAATTTTTTCAATTGTGTAAAGAAAAAGGGGAGAGGGATTGGGGAAGGGGACCAATTTTTGAAAATTCAGAAATGTGTCTAAGAACAAAGGAGTTATGAAGGTATTTCTTCGGATGGGGTGGCTACAATGCCCGTGATGACACGCAGTGTGAACATAATATTTAGTGGCCAGTGGGTCAAGGGAAAACATTTTAACTACATTGGGACTTTAATCTGAAATTAGACCTAGGAGCAGGGGCCTGAGAAATGTTAATGAATGGCTTTCGATTAATTAATATCTCTCATACACGATTCAGCATACAAACTCTACCACACTCTTTTTCATACTTCCTAAAGCCTTCCATGCATCTCAACACAGTCATCTCCATTGACCCCTAACCTCGCCTGCAAATACAAAGACCATACGCATCAGCTAGCAGAGAAGTACATGCAAGAATCCACCTATAAACCTAGGTTACCAAATTAAAAAAAAAAAAGAATCCACGTCCGCTATAGTCATGCATTTATCTTTAAGTCCTAGTCATACAAACTCATGAACTTTCCTGCTAAGACAGAGAAGACAGGCTTCAGCAGCACAGGCAAGAAGGACAGTCTGCTTGAGAGAGAAACAGCACATATGAAAAAAAGCCTGGGCAAGTGTCCTAAGATGAGTGAATACAAAATAAGATAGAAGAATTTTTCAAAGATTTCATTTATTTTCCTTCATGTTAAAAATTTAGGGAAAAAAGATGAACGTAAGAAAAGATTAAAATCTACAATAAGCTTAGGACCTCGAGATACTATTCACTTTGTTTATTTTCCCATCTTCTCCCCATTTCTCATTATACTTATAAATAAGACCACCTAATATTCTCTCCACCCAGACACTTGACTCTAACACTAATACCACAAATCAACTGCATCAGTGATATGAAGTTACCAAGAATAACAATGTTCCTGACACATGAGCAGGGCACGCCCAAAGGCACCTGCACTCTGACAACAGATATGAAACGGATGGACCCGGTGAGACATCACGCAAACCAATGTGCAGTTTGCGTTAGGAAGCGACTCCATCTTGAATGTTGTTCATTAGAACTTGGATAAACAAAAATTCCAAGAAAAGCTGCCGTCCCTCATAACGACATTTACATTCACTGCTTCTGTGACAGATCTCACAGAGAACTACGAAAAGCAAACATAAAGTCAGAAGGTGAACAGGGTGGGAAAAAGAGGACAACACACGTCATCTGTGTTATCATCTTGGTGATGGCCCCTTGCCACCCAAATGTGGATTGTTATTTTTCTAATGACACCGAACAACTCAAACCTATCCTTTTATTTAATGGGGGGGAAAATCTGAAAGGACTTTTCCACTGGGGCCACACCAAACGATGACTGAAGAGTTAGTACTATCCTGTGCTACAAGTGTCACTGATGAAAAATTGAATTTTTAAATTTTTTTCCTCCTTAAAGAATCATCCCAGAGAACCAAAAAAGACTCGGTGGGGCAAGTACTTTGAGTACTCATGTGGGGAAGCAGTTGCCAACCATTCATTTCTAGAAGCCCTGAATGATTTTATCCCTGAGGAAGTTCCTCACCCTCACTGACCCATTCCAGGCTTCATCTGATTTTAGCCCTCTTTTTTCAGCTATGAAATTTTATACCACTAATAGAACAGGCTAAAACTGTTTAAACATGTTTCCTCATTTAACTTAATGGAGTTAAGTTAAATGTTAGTATTAACTAACAGAAATGGTTAAAAGGATTTCAATTCTTTACACTGCAGAAGGGAAAATGGAAAGATATCTTACAGATTTAAATTCTATTAAATTTTAATATGGGATTAGAGGGTAATTATGAGACTTTGTTTTATCAAACTTCCTTGGTCCCGCACAGCATCTAGTATACCACACACACTTCCTAAGCAGAAATGTCGAGGACAAGTAAAATTTAGCCATAAAAGGAAATGATGTCTATTCCTTTTAGAATGTAAGTTTTTAGAGGACAGCTGCTCTCCCACAATCTACTCGCACACAGTACTTATCAAGCCTGCAGCTCGTAAGCAAAATTATCTGCTTCCTCAGAAAGATGAAGACAGAGGAAATTCCGAAGGGAAAGAAATATGGTATTTTAATAAGCACTCAAAACCAGAACACATTATAATTAATAATAATGATATTGAGTGGGAAGCGGTGATTAGAGGTACATATATTATACAGATGGAAAATACATCAAGATTAGCTTGTAGATAAAACGGAAGTTGGTCAATTTTGGAGAAATCGTGCGGGTCTGTCAGTACACAAGAACAAACCTTATAGAGGAAAGGTAAAGGTAAAGGAAAAGGAAAAGAAGAAGGAAAGGAAAGAAGAGGAAAGGAAAGGAAAGGAAAAAAGAAAAGGAAAGAAAATAGTCAGAACGGAGAAATGAGTGGATTTATTCGAACGCCACAGTAGTAGGGTGAACAGTAGAATGAACGGATACACTTTGTTTGCCTTGTCAGTAGGACCTCTGTAAGCCGGAACCTTCTGCTGTATCTCTTCAGAGAAAGGTTGAGGGCCAAGCCTGGGGGCAGTGTGGGCCATAATGAAATCAGGAAGGGCAGGAATATGGCTCATATACAAGAGTAGCATTCCTGTGAGCCTCTGACAGAGCTCCCCAGTAATACTGACTTTTGCATTTCCTGTTTTGTCTTCAGTACCAAGTCACATAGGGGCGTATCCTCAGTGTATTGCCTGACATGGGGTTGGTCCTTAGAATCCCTGGAAATCAGAAACGCTGGACAGAGGGAAGCTGGATGGTCATTTACCTGAAGCTCTAAGGAAAACATCCTATCACTACCATCACCTGAGAATTGGGTCTTCCCCGAGGGAAAGTTTCACAAGAGGTCAAGAAGAGCCACATTACAAATAGGTTGAACAACATCTGTAGTAACTAATTCTCCTTAGAAGAAACAGTTAAAGATGATATCATCAGACCTTAGGTCCTGAAACCTAAATGTATATCAGTAACTGGGTAGCTTTTCAGAAAGCTCAAATGATAGGCTCACCCTAGACTACCCAGCAAAATTTTTAACATGGGGCTTAGGAACAAAACCTTCACGAGCCTCCCAGATATTTGAATAGCCTGCTGGCCCCAAAATAAGTTCCTTCAGCCCAATGTTGTGCAAGTACAACCATCACATCAAAGAAAAGTCACTTTTTTATAAACTGAGTCCTCAATTTTTAATTTGTTCCCAATAAACTACATTTGGAATATAAATAAGTATCACTGAGTGGCTAATAAATGAATGAAAGCATCCTCAGGGGAACAGATTTCTTTTTTTTTTTTTTTTTTTTAAAGATTTTATTTATTTATTTGACAGAGAGAGATCACAAGTAGGCAGAGAGGAAGGCAGAGAGAGAGGAAGGGAAGCAGGCTCCCTGCTGAGCAGAGAGCCTGATGCGGGACTCGATCCCAGGACCCTGAGATCATGACCTGAGCTGAAGGCAGCGGCTTAACCCACTGAGCCACCCAGGCACCCAGGGGAACAGATTTCATTTTATCATACCACCAATTGATCATAGCATCTATCAAATCGATTGAACAAATATTTATTGAGCATTTACTATGGGGAAAACATGGCAGAGGCATGGTTTCGAAAAGGCCATGTAGTAATAGATATCTTCCAGGATGTTTCTTACATTCTGTTGACTCAAATGAGCATTTAACATTATGTTAACCCCGGTTGAATTCCAACTGACCTCTGAGCAATTGAACAGCTTCCGGACCTCCTGCCTCTCTCTGCTTTCTTCATAAAGTACCATTTAAACATGAAACTATAAAGGCAGAGACACTTCCTACCGAAAAAAGTCCCTTGGTGAATCCCTTAAAGAACTGAACTTTTTAGTATTTAAGAGTATCTTCTCTCTTCGTCCCATTTATTTTACAAATTCAGTATTTTTAGACGAGGTTTTCTGACAGCAGCTCCTCAGTGCTGAGCCGCACACGCTCTGAGAAAGACCTGTGCCTCATCAAATGAAGAAACAGCTCTTGGTTTCCAAATTAGCAAGAGGCAAATGATCATTTTAACAGCTTGCAGCTCCATGGGCAATCCGAGCTGAAGTTGTTAATGATTAAGAAATCAAAGAAAGTCTAATGCTTTAATAGCGGCGTGTACGCATGAAACCTGTCACTAACACAGAAAACACGGAAAATTGTTAGGAATCTTCCCCCATGGGGTTAGTGGTAGCTGTTATTTAGAACTTGGACAGCTGGAACTCTGCTGTAAAACTGCATCTAATTCTGTCAAGAATTTCACATGTACCGACACTGAAGGAATCCAACGAGAGGCAAAGAATGCCCTCTATTTACTCGATTATATTTGCTCTCGTATTTCGCCGTATCACGATTGTTAACAGACTAAATGAGACATTTGGGAAAGTCCCTCTTGAAGCAGGTGAAAAACGCACGGGCCACGTGCAATGTCTCAACTGCATGGGCCACATGAGTCTTTTATCGTTCTAGAAAGTACACAATCATTTGATCAGCATGAACCAGTCTCCACACTGAGCTCCTCATCAGGGCAAGAGGCTAAAATTTTCTACTGGAACCTTGAGATTCAATTTGGACCAATTGTCCCAGAAGATCTTGAGGCGACTTGAGGTCTGAAGCCAGGTTAAAAAATGAAGAGATCAGAGGAAAATACGGAATGCTGGGAGGGTCTTTCTTTCAGCGTGTGAACCGCCTCCTTGATGTCACACTAAGGGTGTCTGTGTCTAAATGACTTCAAACGTCAACCCTGCTGGTGAATGACAGTTACCCCATCTCTTCAGTCCTTATTGGTGGCTCTTGAAGTACTTGACTCCTCATTAGCTC